AAAGAGTGAGGTGAACCATTCATGCCCAGCACTGGTACAGGAAGCTTACTCATGTATGGTGGCTGCCAGCATGGAGGGCAGAGATGTGAAAGTATAAATGTGTAAATGATTAACTGATGAGTCTGGGCTCATCTGTTAATCTTCATGGTTATATACACAACAGCCCCTCCCCCCCACCACACAGCTGCTTCTGTGGCAGCCACCTGCACCTCTGAGTGTGAACATGTAACTTCTGAAATTTTCAATGGTTACACATTACTGGCTGCCAGCATGGAGGGCAGAGATGTGAAAGTATAAATGTGTAAATGATTAACTGATGAGTCTGGGCTCATCTGTTAATCTTCATGGTTATATACACAACAGCCCCTCCCCCCCACCACACAGCTGCTTCTGTGGCAGCCACCTGCACCTCTGAGTGTGAACATGTAACTTCTGAAATTTTCAATGGTTACACATTACCTAAATAAAAGCATTTTAACATCCCTAATTGAGAAGCCTGCCCTCAGCCAGCCATGCTCTTACTGGGGTGCTGCACTGAGGCATCCCAGCTCACTTTCACCTTTGCTCAGGACTCCGGCAGGTACACTAGAGACTTTCCAGAGGATGGGGAGATAGATTACAGAGGGCAAAGCGACTGAACAATGTCAGATGAATGGGAAGCATTCTGCAAACAGACTACTAAAATAAAAATCAGTGCTCTATGTACTCTGGTAATGCCTACAGACAAATTTACAACCTAATTAGAACAGGAGACAGGGGAGGGGAATAAAGACAGACATTCTATATTTAGGCCACACATCAGGTCAGTGATAGAGCCAAAAAGAAAGCATAGGTCTGATGACTTCCAGTCCAGTGTCCTATGTATTGGATCACACTACCTCCCAATTATGGCTGGCATCTTCTTTCCAGAACATATCTAAGATTGCTTACTATTCAGGAACTCTGGCACAAATCCAACAAAGGAATTTAATCTGACACCATCAAATGTATGATGTTATCCAGCAACAGGAAACTTACCTCTCACATTCAATCCATTGTCACATGCAAACTGTGCAAAAGGTGACATGTAAGTGGGGTCATAGGCCAGTTCGTGAGCTTGCTCAGCAATGCTTCTTGCTGTCTGTTGTATGCTCTCATAATTAGAATTCTATATTGATGGAAGAACAAGTTATTCTTACAAAAGCAAACTATTACAGGGAATTTCATTCAGGCACATATACATAACTGGATATTGATATAAGTAACAACATTGCAAGTTAGATTTTTCATTTCAAAGGAATCTTATCTCAAATTAAATCAGTTCACTTTAAGAATGTCTGTAGGAAATTAAGTCAACTTCTTCCACTAATCATTGGTGCACGAGTTATGAACACATGCTTATCTTAGGAAGGGAGAAAGTAGAAGACAGCACTTCTCTATATTTTAAGAGTCAAGGGATGGGGGAAAGGGGTGGGGAGAAAACGGTAGCTGAAAAAATAGGTTTTCCTTTGCTTATTCTGACTACCCAATCATACACCCCATTCATCCAGCTCAGTTCTTCTGTACAGCCTGACGCTCAAACTTTGCAAAGAGAATGCTAAACTAAAGAAGTGTTCACCCAAAAAATACTGCCTAAAAAAATTCAGAGTGCTCATTCTCAGCACAGAAGCACCACCCTAGAGCAAGAAATAAAGCTAGTTTTAATAATAAGGATGAGCTTGTAGGAAGTTGGAATGTGAGTGGTTACTCAGTAAGCATCACCCTTATCAGGTAAGGCCTACCAGTTACAGGGTGTGTCTAGACTGAGTTTTGTCGACAAAAGTGGACTTTTGTCGACAAAACTATACCTGCGTCTACACCACCGTTGACATAACGGTGACAGAACTCAGCAGTTTTGTCGACGTTGGTAAACCTCATTTTACGAGGCATAACACCTTCTTTCGACAGATTGCTTTGTTGACAGAACTGAATGTGTCTAGACGGTCTATGTCGACAGAAGTTTTGTCAACAGTATCTGTCGACAAAACTTCTGTCGACAAAAGCCTGTAGTCTAGACGTACCCACAGTTAACTGGTAGGCTTGGCTTGGCCAGAGCATCCTTCCAATTGCAGGAGGTGCTCTAGCTGGGCCAGAGGAGCCCCCCACCATACAACTCTAAAAATTTAACCAGTTAACTGATTAAACAAGATTTTATATCCTTAGTAGGAAGTGTGAGGCTAAGGCTTTATATTAACATCAAGCATAAAAACGTCTTTAAAAATAATACATTTTGCCAACGCTAGAAGATGGATCAAATCAGAATGAAACTATCAATCTTACTTCATGGAGTTCGGGTATCCAGCATTGACAGCCTGCACCTACTAATGTAACTTACCTCACACACAAGAACATAATTTGCATGATTTTTAATGAAGAGGCAGCCAGTAAGAGTTCTCTTAAAAAATTAAGACAGTTATAAGTCTATGAAAATCTAGAGAAAATACAAGCTTTCTATATAATGCATTTCCTCCAGGAGTTCCAATCACCCTTACCTTTTCAATACCTGCTGCCTTACTCAGAAACAGGTTTTTTTCCATGTTGAACAAGACAAGGGATGAACAGCTATTTTCACAAACAACCAGTTTGATAATCTATAAGGTATATAATTTTATGAATATATCTGAATTTCCCTAACATTTTGGAGGAGTGAACAGGCTTTGACAATTCTTAGCTTTCCATCCAACCCAATTTCTATTTGGTGTCTTAACCAAATGTACCAATAGGTGGAGCTCATGTTTCTCTTCAAAACTAGCGCCATGAATATCCAGTGTGCACAATCTAGACTAAGAATATGTTTTAAAAACCAAAATCCTAACAAAAAGGAAGGAAGATGAGAGATTTCAAGAAAGGGATCCGAAAATTGGTTGAGCATCTCCAAGTCACTTTGTTGGCAAAGGAGCCACTTTCTCTTGTCAACCAACAACTTCCAGTAAATTTATCTCAAGGATAAGAGCTATTTGCAGACAAGCCCCTTCTGAAACCAAATATGAAAGGGTACTGAAAAGTTATGCAAAATAAAGCTTCCTAAAGGAAGCTCACATAGATTGATGCTAGTTTTTATATCACATTTTCCTCTTTTAAAGCTGAATTGTATGTATTTTCAAGCGCAACAATCCTGTCACCCAAGATAGTGGTTTAATACAATGAAGCTCTCATGCCAAAGTTACAAACAAAAGCTGCTCTTGGATTGTTTCAGAACAAGTAATAACTTTTGCCTAGTATTCATATTACAGATGAGTTACGGGAATGAAATTCAATTGCACACGTTTCATTTTCAGTTACCTTCAACTTTTTTAGTTCCTGAAGAATCATATAGTCAGGCATGTTGTCAAAAAGTCCATCTGTTGCTGTCAAAATAATGTCTCCTAGCTGAACATCAAAAGTTGTACTGTCAGCAGCATCCGGGCTGTGAAAATAATGCCACCATGTCAAAGAAATGGGCACTAGCTTAAGATAATGGCACCAAATCTTGTTCCAACTACATAATGAATAGCTTTTGTAATTCACTGGTATTATTCTGGCTGTAATAACAGGAGAATGATCACAACTAGAGAGCATCAGAAACACTACACCATAGAATTGCACTGAAAATGCCTGATTAGGACAATCCTTCAGTTTAATATATTCGGCAAGTATATCTTCGTTGTACTATTAGAAGTACTGCAGTTTGTGAGGTTTTCTTCTCACTCAAATATGTAGAATGGGCTATAATTAAAAGGACTTCAATAAAATTATTGAAACAGCAAGCCTACTTACTGGATAATGAAGCATCTTTTTATTGTGAAGGATCCCAAAGTATTTCAAATGTTTGGGTACATCCCCACTAACTGTGGGCAGTAGTCTGATGGTCAAGTGGTGCATAATACAGAGAACAAAGTATTTATTTTGGTACAGACAAGATCTTCCTGGGAGATTTTAGGATAAAAACTACACAACACACCATTAGTAGAATGATGCAGGAGCTGTGATTTGAACTTACGAGTTTCAGAAAAGTTAGCATTTCAAACTAGATTTTTAGATCACTGGATTCTTCTCTGGCAAGAACCAGTTTAACATTAAGTTTAGTCAAGAGAAGAATATACTGATATTTACTCTCACTTTTAATTGCCTTTGCAATTAATGTTAAAGTGCAAGAGACTAGGTGAATTGATACAATTACATGTCAGACTGAAGTGTGGGTATTTTAAAAGCTGATTCATCTCACACTTTCCTTATTCGATGGTGACTCAGTGTATTTTTCTAATTACCAAGATTGTCATTCTTGATAACTATCTTTGGGTTGCTCCTATGTTTTCGTACAATGGATTGTACTTTTGAAGATACCTAGATCTCACGCAATAAGAACTATTTACAGTTATTGTGCAATAAAGAATGATTTTTAAAGTGCAAGAATTTCAAGCTCCTATGACAGCTCTCCTCTCTTCACTCTTTTATACTTTCCTATAATTAAAACTATACCCAACAAACAAACAGTTGGCACTATTTCCAAATATCCCCAAAAGATCATTTTTTATATTAAAAATTATAAAGCCCAAGCCTTGTCTCATTAGAAGTCTACAACCTCAGAATAAGGACTTCAGATTCATACTGCATTCCCTAGACATAGCTCTATTACTTTCTATATTCAGGATTTATATAAAAAGAGCACTTTAATGAGTCTATTATCTTTGACTGAAGAAATGTAACTTGTACTATGTTTAAAAATAATTACCAAATCAGTCAAGAAAAAGCATTTCCTTTATTACAAAAACAGACCAAAAGCAGAAAGACATTAGACAAGCAGGCATGTCTTGTACATACTTTGTTTTAGATTTCACTAATGAGGTTTCATTAGTTTAGAAAAATGACTAATCAGCACTGAAATACAGATTGCTTTGAAATCATGTCCTCTGCTTTAAAACTGCTACTTTCTATAGGACAGGGCGCACTTCTGCAGCAGTCCCTTCTTTGAGCTCGATGTTCTGCCAAAATGGAGTTTTGCTCGTTTTGAACGAACACAATGTGCTACTAGAAACTTAGCTGTACTGAAATGCAAGCTGCAGTCACATGCTTTCCTGATCTGTTCCTCAAGTATTCACTACCTCGCTGACTTGCTATGTAAGTTAGGGTATTCCTAATCATTCCCAAACGAGTTAGAAGGAAAACCTCCACTAAGATAAGGCACTATTCCAATATATGACAACCTGAACACAATATATTTGACTTAAGTGTTCTATACTAGGCCAGTTTTGATAGCTTAGTAGGGTTATAATACACAGTGCACTATGTCAATTTTATTTGCATCTCACTGCAGATATGTTGCAGCCAGATGCCTGGCAGTAACCTTTATATGCTTCAGTATTTTTCCAGATAATGACATCATATGTACTTTACATAAATTCCATCAAGTAATACTCACAGTTTAGCAAAAAAACTTTATAGCATAAAATATTTTATGCCACGATCACTGATCCTATATAGGCTACAAAAATTACTTTTACTTAGCTCATAAAAGAGAGAGATCATGCACCAAATATTGAATCATAGTAGGCCAAAATATTAACTAGCATTTGAAGTTCTTACAAATGCTGCCAAACAAAGAGGCAGCAGCTAAAGTTATTTGTATTGCAAGAATGTTGAGAGATCTTAAATTGCAGAAGCAATGGATTTTATCATGAAGGTTACGACAACCTTAATTCTCCTGTTGTGTCCAGATATTGCAGCATATGACAAGTGAAGTCATTTCTAGGACCTGAACCTTAAGTGGAGACATTTATGTACAGAAACAGGTATATTTCATCAAAAAAGTTAATACAGAAGGTCTCTTTGAGAAAACCAGAAATGCTTAATACTCAGTGTGCACCTAACTTTACAGATCACTCTGCATGTAAACAGATCATTCCTACTCTGAGCAGAGATTAGGCCATGGCAACAGCCTACAATGTAGGGTAAACTTAAGTCTGGGAAAGGCTTACACTATGTTAAAGACAGACAGGTGGGGAAGGGGATTCATCTTTCAAATGGAATTATTATTAAAAGCCCATTTGCTAAGTTTCACTACAAAGACTGGAAGCATGTATCCTTTGGGGGAAAATAATCTCAAGTTCTTGATTCACATCTAATTCCCCATCTCACCTATCACTTAAGACGACTCCCTCTGCTTCTGGTGGAGCTATTGACAGTTGGAATGGAGTGTTGAAGTAATGCTGCTGTTCATCAGATCGATGTACTACTTCTCCTCCTCTGACTACTAGAAAACCAGAATCTCCTAAATTTGCTGTATGTAAACGATGACTTGTTCTGTCCAGAACTACTATGCAAGCAGTACTGCTTCCTAGAAAAAAAATTAACTCAGTTAACTGGAGATCACCATATACATTAGAAAGTCTACTGAATAGATCTTTCTTAGACAAGCTGTTCAAATACCTATCATTGACAACAAAAAAACCACCCCGTTAATACAAAGTGAACGTGCATTAACAGTAGGAACAAATCATGTTTTCTGCAACCATTTCCACTCCCAGTTTACAGATTTATTTGTAAAGTTTTTACTTATCTGGCTTTGATTTCTTTCATTACATTGTTTGCTATGTTCCTGTGCATTTCTAACAGTTAGGTGTATGTATGTCAGCCGAGTCTCCTATAGGAAAAACTATTCTGAATAATGAAGCCATGATTAACGTGACACTTTTGGGAGTATTTTGTAGCACCAGTGGTGGGCACCTACATCTGTGGCCCGAGGGCTGCATGCAATCCACCAGGTTTCTGTGTGGCCTAGGAGACATTGTTTACCACTGGCTATTTGCAGGGTTGCCAGATTCTGCTGGTTTTCATCCATGTAGTAATATCAGTAGAAAAAAAAACCTAAAGTGGCATGCATGTAAAGCAAGGGCACATGAAGGGAACAGATTGCACACAACATTGTGAGCTGTTTGCGCCCTTTGCATCCAGTCAAAGCGCTGCCATGGTGCAATCAGCACACCCAGCAAGTTCTAGGTACACAAGCGCAGTTAGCAAAACTACCCTATCCTGGGAGACTGTCTTGGTTACAACAATCTTGCGGCCGACAGAGGAAGGAGCTTGCTAGTTTACGCTGTCCATTGCTGACCTACACTATGCTAGGAGTTGTTCATAAGTTTTCATTCACAGCTAGAAATAATTTGCATAAAGTATATAGGTTATCTTGTTTCATTATCAGTGGCAGAACAAACACTCTTTTAAGACAAACTTTGAAAGACTGGCTCCAAAGGCGGCCTAGATTTTAAGAAGGAATGTATGGTTTATTAATATAATTCACTCAGAAGGAAGTGCATGGCTTTAAAGCTCAAGAAATTAACTTCAATATTTAAACAAGTGCCTGTGCACTGTTAGTTGCTTAGACACTTTATAGCTGGCTGACCACAATCTTGACAATTGGGAAAGTTTCAATTACATAGGTAACAGCATGTGTCAAGTTTTTAATTAGGACTATCAGAAGTTCATTCAAACATTATCACTTCTATTGTAACTAATACTACTGATATGGCAATTGTCTTTAGTATTTATCTTGTTTTTGGTACACTAGGTTCCTGCTAATTTTTTTAAACACTTTTGTAACTACCATTCTAGATGGATTCAAATGTACAATAAGGAAGAAAGGAATTGAAACATCCCTGATAATTTCACAAATATTTTATATATATTTGAGGGCATTATGGAGTTTTCATTCATTCCACTCTAGCATCTAGGCCTGGAGGCCGATGGCAACAGTAGAGAAACCACCAAATATTATATTGGAAAAAGGCCAACACTTGTCCAGCTCCTTCATAAGAGAAGGAAATAACACCCTCAATGGAATTCAGTGTAGTTCTAACTAGAAAAGCCAAATCTTTTCTAAACAGCTCTCACGCTATGACAAACCATCACCAATAGATGTTTTGATACCATACATCAGAGAAAAGTTGGAATCTTCCATGTGCAGCTCCAAGTTTCAAAATATAGCTGCATTTTTGATAGACCATGGGGCTTACAATGAGCTAAAATCAGGTTTAGGGATGTTAAAGATCAGTTAATTGAATAATCGATTAACCTCAAATTTGTATCTGTTACTCAACTATTCGATAGTCCCCGAAGTGGGGCTGGCAGCCAGTGCACTCTGGCCCCACTCTTAAGGAGCCCCTTGCCAATCTGTGCTGCTACCTCTGTATCAGAAGCAGCAGCACTGAATGTCAGGTGTGAGCTGGTCCAAGAGCGGAGCCAGTTTAAAACCCAGCTCTCCTCATGGATTGGCTGCCTGTCGCCCTGTGCTGTTGCCTCAATACAGAGGCGGCAGCCCCTGTCGGGAAAAGGTGAGGGGGGAGGAAGAGGGGAAGAGTCTGAATTCCTGGACCTAGCATGAGCCCCAACTGAACTGGCCTGCCCGCCCACCTGGTTCCTAATACACTTTAAGTGTAGAGCCCCAGCAGGGGTAGGTCCCAGACCCAGCACAATCCAGGATTGAGCTGGGCTGCTAGTCAGCCTGCTAAAAAAATTACTGTCAAGGGGAGGGGAATGCATATTGTCTATACAATTAACAGATAAGCTTTTGGCTTATTGGTTAATTCACTATACTATTACATCCCTACTCAGGATCTAGATCTTCTATTTGGTACACAGGACATTAACTCTTCAGCCCTTTACAGAGGTCTGCGTTGCAAGTGAACAGCAATGCAGGCCCAGTCTTGGGTTCATATGGGACCCTGATTCTCCCAAAACAGAGAAATTAAAATCATGTCAACAAAAGAAAATTAGCCTTCAAATCACTATATAGTTAGAATAAAGAAACTAATCAAGTCAAACTCAAGAGAAAGAAGAGAAATGCAACAAAAATATTGTGCCTGGAATAGGACTTCAGTTTTCCTCCCCTCTCCCAGACAGGATTTCATGTCCAGGTATTTGCCAGAGTCGGCACTGATGGAACAAGCTGCTGATACCTCTGGCCTTATGCAAGGAAAAAATTAATTCTTGTTTATATGTTCTTAAGCAGAGGTTTCTTGAAGATTAAAAAAAATCTTAAAGTTGTATTTTTATGAAAGTAGAAATAGTGAGAAAAATTCCACAAATGAGCATTTACAGTGCTTTGAGAGAAGAAAAAAAGGGAAAAATAGGATTCATTAGTTTCACATTCTAACTTAACAGGTACTATAACTAGAAATCCATGTGTGGAATGCAGATCTTGTGACTGCTGCTCTTGAGAATTTGAAAGTTCAAGCAGCACAAAGTTGCCTCCCTGTATAAAAGGGCTGCTAGAACTAATTACCTAGTGAACCACCTGGTGATCACTTGTTCACTAACAGCACCAGTATAGTTAAACACCTAAACCCACTGAAATAATTACTGAACAGTACTATCCTAAAAGTAACAAGTCATTTCTCGGGTATGTATCCATTCTCTACATGTATAAAAAAGTGAACATATGTTCTCGAGCTCAGCAAACTTTAGCTAAATATAGTTTACATAGAGCTCTTTTGGCAAAGTAGTTTAAGGTCAGGTGAGAAGCATGTGCGTCAAGCAGGCAGGGTAACGTGCTCTTGGTCTGAAATCTTGTAAGTGTTCCCTTGTAAGTGATCAGTTTTCAAGATTGCCTATTCACAGCCTAATTCTGCCTTCATGTCCTCAATTGCCACTGATTTCTGGGGGCATTACATGCACATATCCAAAACCATATTTTGTGCACATTTAACAAATCACTGATAGCATATTTCTTTTGCTGTGATGACATTCAGTGATGTCTACAACCCACAGCATACAACGGGGTGGGCAAAATTCAGCCCGCCAAGTGAGTTGATCCAGCCCACTGAGGCCCTGCCACGCCCCCATCCCCAGGCCAATCAGGGGGCTTAGAAGTGCCACATGCTCCTGGCAGGGCAGGAGGGAACTGCCTACTGTTCAGATTCTCTCTAGGGGGTGGGTAGCAGAGACTTTGCATATTCCTGTATCCCAGGCCAATCAGGGTCTATGGGTGGGGAAGCATGGAAGTGTCCTGGCCCCGCCCCTTATGTCTGAGGCTCCAAACCCTCCAGGGCAGCCTAGGAACACTTCCAAAATTTCAGAAGTGGCCCCCGGTTAAAAATTATTGCCTGCCCTTGGTGTACTGCTACTTTGAGCTTACTATAAGGGAAAAAGAAACCGAGTAACAGGATACTTCAGTGTATCTCCAGAAAAATATTGGTTCAGCTAGAGCTTAATCACAAAACTCCCAAAAGGTTTCAAATTGAGAATAATTTTTTTAAGACATAGCTGGTATTAGCTGACAGCAGTAGGAACTTTTTTTGTATCCACTGTGCAAGATCCTCACAAAACAAGGTTACAGTTCTGCAATTTCATTTCAGGTTTTTCTTTTTAAATTAAAAAGAAACATGCAACTTGTCATGTTGAAGTTGTTTTTATTATTTAAACTTAGAACACCAAGTCGACATATCTGTGTCAAGAGGACACGTACCACCTGAACAATATTTGTGGGGTATTTGCTGCACTTACCAAGCAAAGGTACTTTGTTCTGCAGCAGCTCACTATAACTTGTAGTAAGAATTCCAACAGGATTGCTTGGTACGAACCGTCCTTCTTTTACTAAACGTTCACATGTTCGCATTAGAGTCCCTGAGAACTGAGAAGGATCAACCCCATAGTCTCTCCAGCCACCTACACCATCTGCTACCCCTAAGAAGAGAAAACACAACTTATTGTTAAAAACAAATGTTTTGATATTCATTTCATTCTAGCACAGGGCTACTCAAGCGGCTCATGGGCTGCATGTAGCCCATGGCCTATTTGTTTGTGGCCCACAGTGTGGTTTGGGTTTAAGTGGGGCTCAACACATGGCCCATGGGGGGATCCTTTGAACATGGCCTCCACTGGGAACATGCTCCACAAGAGCGAGGCATCTTCCAGGAGGGGTGAGCATTGAAAGACACATGTGGACAGGCTGGCTAGAACAAACGGGTACAGGGTGTCGGCATTTCTAGACCCCAGGGAGGAGGTGCCGGGAACGTCGGGGCATTGTGGGAAATACTGGCTGCTTAGCCTTGTGGGCAGAACCTGAGAGGCGCTGACTGGCTCTCACTGGCCATGTTTGGGTCTGCCGCCACAGCTTAATCTTTGTATTCATGCCCGTAAGTGTGAAGCAAGCTATGTCTATGCAACCACACTTAAGCTGCGGCCCTCGGCATGTGCTGGGAGTATCATTGTGGACCCCAGAGCTTCCAAAGTTGAGTAGCACCATTTTAACATATATGTCGATGGTTCAAGATCTAAAACTTACACAAGTTTGCTAGTCATATTTCTGTATAAAACATTTTCCCCAAATGGTTATGAACAGTTTTATTATATGAGAACAGTAGCAGTATGGAGCTTTATAGTTAGAAACCTGAAAGAATTTTTGGTTTTAAAGAAACCACACGTGAAGAAAAGCACACATATGTAAGCAAACTTGAAATGTTAGTGATTGGATAAAGGTCCAGGTACATTTGACAGTTAGTAATACAGATTAAAATTTGAAAGCTAAATATCTAGAGTAATGATCTGTGAAGAGACTGACTTTGCTATAAGAAAGACTTCTTAGAGAGTTAAGTAGCTTTTCAGGGATAGATTACACTTTCATTAGCACAGAGAGGGAGGAATGGAAGTGTTGAAGAAGATTTTAAACAGAACAGAAATGAAGATAGTGTAGAGAAACTCCCTCCCCATCCAACATCTCCAGACAAGTATTCTTTTACTGCTCACTCACAGTGAGATGATCCTTTTCCTGTGAGTGGCACCAATTTCTGCAGAAAGTAAAACTTCCATTAAAAAGTGTTTGAATGTCAATGCAATTGTGTGTTCTACATCAACAGAAAGAGTACACTAGAGTCTCTGTGGCTATTTACAACTTCAACCAAGCAAGAGTTTAAATCACGGGTGGGGAACCTTTTTGGGTCCAGGGACTGCTGACACACAGAAAAGTCAGTTGGGTGCCGCACAAATGAGAAGCCAAAAAAAAAAAAAACCTCCAAACCCTCACTGACGTGGCCCCTGATTGAGAAGGAGAAAGACACTTCCCACACATACTAGAGCCTAGTGGGGCCCAGGCTAGTATATATAGTATGCTCCAGTCAGTGGCCATGGGCTCCCCAACACTACAAGTGGAGCCCTGAGCCTCAAGCGCTGGATCCAGGCAAGCTGGAGGTCGCATCTGGCCCTCGGGCCTGAGGCTCCCCACCCCTTGTTTAAATGGATTAAAGCTCACTGTAGCTGTTCAGAACAGCATTGACAGCAGTGAAGCAGATGAGTTTCACTCTGATAAAGCTTGGGAAAGCTTTGAGCAGCAGAGGCAAGTGCTAAAGTTATGCACAGTGGAGCAGGAGACTGGAAATGGGTGATTAGCAGAGTCCCTCACCACTAGCAACAATCCGAAGTCTCTGGAATATGAAGGTGGGGAGAAAATTCCTCCCTTGCAGTAGCAATAAGATTTTTGTTTTTAGGAAAGTAGGGGAAGGAAAAGTCAAGGCACCTTTTAGCCAGAGGCTACAAGAGATGAACCTTGGACCTCATCATCCTAGATTTTCCCAAAAGTTCCTGGGCTGTGTATTCCCTGACAGTGCCACACTTCTTTCCTTTTCTGTATTATCCTTATCTGGTAGGTTTAGTTCTTTGGCTACTTGGTGGATGGTAAATTTACATCTATCAGAAGGAGTGCATGGATGGTGGCAGCAGGGGAGTGAGATATGGGCCAAAGGCGGGGTAGGAAGTGGTTGGTTATTTTGCAAGAGGATTGATAGGAAAATTATAAGGGAGCAGATATAGCACTCATAGTAAGGAAAGAGATACAGGGGGCGAGGGAGATAAGTAAAAAGGGACAGGTAGAACAAAGGAGGCTAAAGTAAACACTAAAAACTTGATTAACAATGTCATAACCAGTACAGCACACAACTTATTTACTCCTTTAAATTACTACCCTAGATTACCAGCCACCCTGCAAGTGCTGTGCAAAAATATTTTAACACTTGTTTTAAAGATAAATTACCAAAGAAAGTTGGTTCTATCATTAGTACAAAAGAAAGCTGAGCTGCAATAGTATAAAAGATAACTGGCTCAACTGACCACATAGCAATGTTAAAACTTTTAAATTACTGCAATGTGGTGGTCTGGTAACAGCTAATGTGCTTTCTGATTGGCTGAAATATTTTACAGTTTTCAGAGTCTATTCTTAATGCTAAGACTACTGCATTCAAATATTTCCTAAGAGGGACACATTAAGGTAGATACCCAATAAGAACATAATCCCATTTGAAAATGTTGCATGATTTAATTTGGCTAAGGATCTCTCTGATCTTCAACATGTAAGAATTACAATTTGAAGTATATCGTGACAAAAAATAAGCTTTATTTCTTGATACAGCACAATGTGTCATTTTCAGAGTATTCTTAGAAGATTTATTTGGGGAAAAGGATAGAGCTAACCTCTAGATGAGTGAAAATTGAAACAGTAACATGCAATTTACTCATCTACTTATGCCCTTCACAAAGGATACCATTTGAAATCAAAGTGGAAGATTTAGAGTTGACCTTGGCATGAACTACATAATCTGATGACAGGTTAGAGCCAGATTCTGTATAGCCCATCAACATTAATCAGATTTTCACCCAAAATAGTGCACAACATTTTAAACACAAACACAGACTATGCAGGTGTCTAAGTACAGTATGCAGTAGCCAAACTCCACTCTTAAATTTCTTTGAACAGAACAAAACATGGACTGCTTCTGACCTGCACTAAAAGACTCTTATTTCACCAGACCAAAACCATCCATTCCTGCAGTTTGGTTCGCTCTTTAAATTAAAAAAGAGTTAATGCAACCTATTACGGTAAAGTACTGTATACCATTTTACAGAAAAAGGAAACTGAAAAATCAGCTTCAGATTAAAAAAAAGAGACACATGGCCTATGAGGCTGATGTTCAGCAAAGAAATTATGAACGTGTTCAATGAATTGAATAGCAGACTGAAAAATGACAGCTTAAGATCAGTACCAAAAGGAAAATTTAAGACAACTTCTGATGCTGTCACTTCAAACTATACTCCTACAAGTAATCCTTGTCTGTATAATAGCATATCACCTCATAGATCACTGAAATAAAGTCCAAAACTAAACTACTGGTTCTAGTTATGTTGCTACTGAAAAATCATGATGTCCTGTACCGATTCCTAGTATCCTTGTTCTGCATTCCAGGTGAAAGCAAGATAAACATCAATACAAAAAGTCAAGACAACTACTGTTTTGATTGATAGAACTGTTAAAACTTTAGTTTACTTATCACTTTCCATCATATTTCATAACATGCAGCGTCCTCTGCTAGTTCACCATCGAACCCCAAACACCCATATAAAAACAGTAGTTTGCTAAGTTTTAAAGTTTAAAATGTTGCTTAAATGAGAAGAATTACTATGGGGATGTCTATACTATGCAGCTTTTAGCAACAAGGCTGTATCAACACAGCTTGCATCAATGCTATTTGTCAGTGCCTTTGTTGACAAAACATTTCCACCCCCAATGTGAAGGTTTCACTTTGTCAGCAGTAGAGCGCACTCTTGCAGACAAAGCAGCATTCACACTTTCACTTGCCATGGCAAAACTTTGTCCTTCATGTCAGGGGAGGTTAAAGCCCCATGAAAAGCAACAAGTGTTGCTGATCAAGTTCAAGTGTAGACATAGCCTAAGTTTAAGTTGTATGAAACCTTTGACTTTGTCCGTGTAATCAGTAAGTGGCAGAATATCAACCCAAGCAAATGCTTGGGTATTTGTATTTCTTTGTTTCAAAAGTAGGCAATGGGCCAAGTCAGGTCTTCTGCATAAAAGACCATAAATCGTGCAAAAGGGAATAAAGTCAGCAGGTAAAGCAGCTGAATACATTTTAAAGAAAAATACATGAAGGGCAAGATTAACTGCAATTACAACTTCTACAGTATTCTTAAGTGGGAGTTATCCTGCTAAAAGATAGACAAATGCTCCCTAGAATTACTGCCCAATTACACACGGCCTGTCAGTTACCATGAAGCTGGCTTCATCCAACTTCAATGACCCAGTACCTCAAGATTACAGGCAGTCCCCGGGTTACGTACAAGATAGGGACTATAGGTTTGTTCTTAAGTTGAATTTGTATGTAAGTCGGAACTGGATCCAGATTCAGCCGCTGCTGAAACTGATCAGAGGCTGACTACAGGAAGCCCTAGGCAGAGTTGCTCTGCCCCCAGCTTCCTGGAATCAGCCGCTGATCAGTTTCAACAGCAGCTGAATCTGGACTCCTGGGACAGAACAGATT